TTGTTAATTAATGATTTTCCTGAAATCAATAAAAATGACATTTGTATTGTATAACTTCATTAACATTGTTATTTCCAGTGCATTGCTACCTTCTTTGTAACTGTTTAATACAATCCCTATATAAAATTTGTAATCTCTCGAAAAATATATGTTTATTTTATTTTGTTTTAGCTTTAAATCTCTTTTTCTACCTTTTTGAAATTGGTATATCTAAATTACACGATGTCATATTCATCTCTTGCACAAACACGTTTCTTAGATCATTGATCAGTTAATAGTTGGATTTTTAAATTATCGTCCTGAACAATATATGGACAGTATGGTACATGGCATAATAATTATATTTTACGTACTTTTTATTGTTTTAACTATGGAAATTTATGTTTAACGAATGGGCAATGCTTTCCGATATACTTAACCCTCGCAGTACCGGCGGTTGGGCGTTCACGCGCACGCGCGCGAAGTCCCAGGATTGGGTCCAAATCGATCTTATATATACAATCATTTTGAACTATAATTTTGTTGTTATTATCATTATTATTATAGTAGTAGTAGTAGTAGTAGTAGTAGTAGTAGTAGTAGTAGTAGTAGTAGTAGTAGTAGTAGTAGTAGTAGTAGTAGTAATACTATTATTACTATTACCGTACGTTTTTTTTAAATTTCTAAGAAGAGTTGTATTAATCACATAATCGAACAATACAAGATTATAAAGTATTCGTTATCGCACTAACATAAACAAATGACAGACGGCATCAAGCGTCAAGCGGTGAAGGCAGGCCCTCAAGCTCTGGGTTCGCAAAGACCCGGACTTGCTACGGCGAGAGAATTAATAATTATAATACGAGAATTATACAGAGTACGAATACGAATATCTTTATTTAAAGTGATAGGAATCATTCTGTTCCTGTTATACTATTTTAGAGAGTATAACGATGATCTTTTTCTTTACAGGTAAAATAGGATTGTTCTACTTGATATTCTACGGAGTGTTGGCTGGGTTGGTTGCAATTTGCTTCTGGGGATTCTTCCAAACGTTAGATCCGAGGATACCGAGGTGGCAGCTGGAACGTTCGATAATTGGAACAAATCCAGGTAAAAATTTTCAAATAAATTCCGTCTTGTTCTCTAATCAAAATTATTAATATTCAAATGATCAAATTAATAATAAAATTAGTAATATCGATTAATATTTTGCGTTGCCATCAAAGTAGATTGCTGTAAATAATTCTGTGCCTTCTAATGAACGCGACAGTTTCGTCGATTTATTTTCGCGATTACCCGTGAAATCCCGATTTCGCAATGTAGCCGCAGGCGCCTAATATTTCTTATTAAAATGAAAAATTTGATACTTGCACTTCTGTTATAGATCGACACACGTAATCTATTTCATATTTAAATCTCATACTATAAAAAGCACGTTTCTAAACAAAGACAAGGTAAAAGTTACCTTAGAAAAATTACGGTTCTTTTTATGTAACACGTGACATGTTGCTCCATTGTGCCAGAGTAAGATGACTACGGTTATATGACTGTAAATAATGCACGGATAACGTGCAGTCATTATATTTTAACCCTCGAACGGTAGAACTGTCTGATGAAATACAACTGGGTATACTTGCGATCATTTATCTTCTTATTTATCAATTTTTTCAACATATGCTTTATGTTATTCTTTCTAGATATGTTAGTTTTTCTATAGGCTTTGTCGAAACATGTGAAAATTGAAATTAGTTGTCAGAAACTTGACATTCAGATATCAATTTTTCCAGTCGGACGAATTCTGACTCCGCTGTTCGAACATAAATAATGTATCCTAATACAACACAAACGTTTACAGGTTTAGGATTTAGACCGACACCGCCACTGGAGAACGTCGAGAGTACATTGATATGGTATAGGGGAACAGACAGTCAGAATTACAAATACTGGGTCGATTCGTTGCAATCTTTCCTAAAAGGTAATTATTTACAGAGTAAAACTATACACATTTTATTGCTGAATTTGTATCGAATATTCATTTCGAGTGACACGGAAGATTTATGATTGTGTCACTTGAAGTTAATAAGGCATAATACTAAATGAAGACAATTGAACAGTTTAACTCTCCAGAGACAGACTTTTTGGCAAAAATATAACTCTGAGCATGTGTAGAATTATTTATAATCTTATTCATTAATTTTTCTTAACATGTCTCTTAAAGTGCTTCTTCTAGACATTAACGAAACATGTGAAAATTTAGATGAAATGTCAGAAACTAGATAGTCAAGTAACAGTTTTTATAGTTTGGATCAAAACTGACCCGAGCCTGTGTCTTACATATATGTATACTACTACGAGCCTGTGTCTTACTATATGTATACATATACTACGTACAATATACCACTTAACCCATTGTCTGGCAAATATTAACTCCAAAAAAAATCGTAGAAAATCAACATAATTTAGTTAACGAAGCTAAAATTGGAAAATGAAAATTAATCATAGCGATTGCTATTTCGATTCTTTTGCATTCGAAAAATCCTAATGTTTAGTTTATTTTTAATATGATACGATCAGAATTGATATCTAAGCCAGGCCAATAAAATAATGTCACTGATTTGTGACCAATGTGGCAGACAATGTGTTAATCTAATGCATAATTTAATGTATATTTACATTTGATAGGAAGTAAACTGCGGCGAACAGTTAGTTAAAAAGTTATTGCACATTTCTCTCTTAAAAATTGTTTTACTGTACAATCTATTCGCTTAGGCACTGCGTCAACTTGTAGAATTCAGTCATTTGGTATTTGTGCTGCAGATAGCAATCTAACTTCAATTAATTATGTTTGCCTCTTTATCCATATTTGTAGTTATTTTATGATTAAGAGGAACATGTTGCAAAAACATCTCGAACGAAACGTTTACCAAATCTCGAGAATGCCTTGTGTGTAATTTTAGATTTACACTTTTGTAGACTTCGTTTATTCGACGCCAAACATAAGTCTTTGTTTGCATCATATTGTTTCATTATCTTATTTTGAAACGTCAAAGTCATTACGAACCTTGTTTAACAGTCACCAATGGGAAATAGCATTAGCGTGATAATAAACAAATGATACAAAAATTTACCAAATGTCAAATTAGACAAAGTACATTGAAAATAAAAAAAGAGAGGATACAATTTTACTCAATGTTTGCTGATTCACTTTTCTGACGTTAATCGACAGAATATTTGAAGTAAATTAGACAGCTTACTCACAGACTAATTTTCGAGATGTTAATCGCTATGCAATAACCGAGTACGCCTAATTTCTCAACAATTTTATTTGTATTTCCTGCTCGGGAATATAATGATTCTTCTAAATCTTATGTTTACGAACTGATATACATTTGCTTACATTCCTCAATTTATCAGGCCGTAGCAACGAAGACAGTATCAGCAAAGTTACTTCGTGTTAGTGATGACAGATCAATTTTAACAAATTGTCTGTCTTTCTATGTTATAAATAAATATTATTAATGCTTTCTACCAGTTCGTACTTCAGGAGAGAAGGAAACGTAACCTTGTCCTTGTAAACAGTTTCTATATTATATTTAAGTAGAACATTTTAAATCGTAAAAATGTTTCATATTTCAGCAATTCGCAGATATTTATTATACTGAAATATATATTGACAATGACGACAGCAATTTAGACTAATTTTTTTATACAGTATGATAGTACGTGAAATGGTTAATGGTCTGTTATAATATTGATCGATTCTTTCTTTTCTTTTATTTTCCAATAAAAATTTTTGAGCTTTCGAACTTTCATCGACCACGCTGTTTCATTTGATGATGCAAACGAGTTAATTTATTCGTCCTAAATAAAGTTAGACTATGCTATGTAATACCTAATGTCCGATTGTAAGTGAAACTGATCGGCATTGTAATTATTTATTGTACAGTTACTTTTCTATTACTAAAGTAATATAATAAATATAATAACTTTTTAGATTACATAACACCGGGGTCGGTGCCTGGTCTTGGTGCAAACATTAACAAATGTGACTACAATCAACCTCCACCTCCCGGCAAGGTTTGCGACGTTGACGTTAAAAACTGGCAACCGTGTACTAAAGAGAATAATTACAACTATCACAAATCCGCTCCATGCATTTTCCTCAAGCTCAACAAGGTAGCTATTATTTTTTATTTTATCAACATCACCCAGTTACCTTTAGAGAGGACAGGAGTGATCACTATAGTGGCCACCTACAAAATCAGCCAATTCATAGGTCACGTAAACTATACATAGCGAAAAACTTTCTATAAAAATGTTTGACTTTTCAATGCTGAGATGCATACTCTCTAAAGGTTAAAAGAGTAATCTAGTTAGAGCGCGAATTTTTATGCAGAATAAAAATTATCTACACATTGCAAGAAATGAAAATTAAATAGTAAGTTCTTTCTTTATTCAACAGTGTTAAATAAATTAAAAATAATACATTGACATGTTTGAATTCTTTGAACCATTTTATCATTTTGAATTGCAACTATTCAATTTTGGCATAAATGCATAAAATCTGCAGTCTAATTTTAGTTTAAAAGTTTGATGAAAATCAATCGTGTGTGTTCTTTAAAATAATAGAACTTTTTCAAACAATTTCCCTAATTTATAAAAATTACCAATATTATAACAGTTGCTCTTTCAGTGATCAAACCTAAACTTACAAAATTTTATTTTCTCCATTTTTGAATTTTATTTTCCTCTTTCTTTTCCTTCTTCCTTCTTTCTCCAATTTTATATTTTTCGAATTAACTTAAAAATTGCTATGTAACCTCAACACATTTATTGCTACCACAATTAAGACAAAATAATACTCTGTTTAAATTTTACTGTCAAGAAAACATTAAAAAAAGAATGAAAAATTGATACTCAATAATTTTACTACTTTTCAATTTCTTCCTACTATAGTTGATACGAAAATAAATTAATAGTAATTTAAAACAACCGCTTTCAATCTTTCCGTCATGGGTACTTTATTGTTTGTAATCAGACTGCATTTATGTTAAAATTGGATTAGGTAAAATGCCGATCTCACACACACACGCGCGCGCACGCACGCACGCACGCACACACACACACACACACACACACAACAAGGATACTCGAAAAATTTAAGGATGTTTTTACTTACTCCTTAATTTAGTGAAATTATTTAAAGAAGAAATACATTTTCACTTAATTTCTTATTCATTAGTTTCTTACAATTAATTTTAAACAAACTTTTATTTTGCATAAAAATCCACACTCTGCTTATAATACAATGCATTGCTCTTACAATGCAAAATAAAAATTTTCTAACGTATTTTTAAGAAATAGAAATTAAGTAAATGTATTTTTTCTTCTAATAATGCCAATAAATTGTAGAGAATATAACAACGTTTTTAAATGTGTTTACATTTTGGTATTTTATCTAGTTTAGCTTTTTTTTAGTTCTAACAAGCACAAAAATGTTTCCTTTTGCCAATATAAATTATGTGGAACAGTTAGGAAAGTAAACAAATATCTAAATAACAAATTTTTTTAAAAATTAGTTTTATATTAACTCAAATTCGAAAGTTAAGATACTGCGTTTTAAAATAAAATATCCGTTTAATGCATTCAATGTTTACGTTATTACTGTAATAGGAGTCAAGTAAACTGTGTACATCAATGGAAAGTAGAGTTCTAAAGAAGCTATACAGGGTGTCCCACAATTATTTTAACAGCCGAAAATGAGGGGTAGCTGAGGTCATTTGAAGTAACTTTTTCCTTTGCGAAAATGCAATCCGCGGCTTTGTTTACGAGTTATTAACGAAAAACACTGGCCAATGAGAGGTGACGGTGCGAGAGAGAGGGTCCGCGAGAGACTCCGCAGCACGAGGCTTTGACAGAAGGTCGGGACGGACTCGAGCCGCGTTCGAAGTATTGAACAAGTTACGAAGCGAGAACTTTCCGGATTTTTTTAACTACATAACAGTGATATTTTTAAGAAAAACGCTGTTCACCTTTACTTTAGAACGTCTGAAGAATATTCACTAATTTTTCGGACTCGAAATAATATGTAGTTTAACCATGACAGTCGTTTTAATTTTCTGGTGTGCATGACACCTTATGTGTACCATATGAAATTTTTATGCAAGGTGTACAGTGAAGATTAACAAAGTTCGTAAATGATATTTTAATTTAAATAATTCCGTGTACGAACAGAATTCAACGAATGATTCGCAAAGCTGATTTAATAATAAATAATCGCGTTAAGGTACGTAAAGGATTTGTTTTTTAGAGAAATATGAAAAATATTATCGATAAGAAACTCACCCATTTAGTTGAGGATGCATTTGCTGACTCGTACGTACTGACCTCGTACAACGAACAGCTGATCCCAGGTCGATGACCGCAACATTCGAGGGATACTGTCGGTGGAACCTCTGGTATGGTTATTTGCGAAGTTCACTTACACTGCACTGTCACCAAACACTGATCAGTTATTTAATCACTGATAATCCGAATCACTTGTGGATATTTAAGAAAGATCACTGAGACTCGTTCGCGGATAATCGTTTATTCGACGCGTTCGTTCGGAAGTCGACGTTTCACTGCCAAAAAATCGAGGCCTCGACCGTGGGCCCTTGTCGTTCGTCTTTCGGCCGTCCGAGGAAATAACACCCGATACTATTTTCTTCGAAGCGCAGGGTACCGCCAAATGAAATAAACAAGATATGCCGAGACGTAAACTGTGTCCGACCCGCTGTCACCCTGCGCTCTTAGAACGTAATTAATGGCCGTGCGAAGAAAATGGTATCGAGTGTCATTTCCTCGGACGGCCGAACGAAGAACAACAAGGACCCACAGTCAAGGCCTGAATTTTTCGGCAGTGAAACGTCGACTTCCGAACGAACGCGTCGAATAAACGATTATCCGCGAACGAGTCTCAGTGATCTTTCTTAAATATCCACAAGTGATTCGGATTATCAGTGATTAAATAACTGATCAGTGTTTGGTGACAGTGCAGTGTAAGTGAACTTCGCAAATAACCATACCAGAGGTTCCACCGACAGTATCCCTCGAATGTTGCGGTCATCGACCTGGGATCAGCTGTTCGTTGTACGAGGTCAGTACGTACGAGTCAGCAAATGCATCCTCAACTAAATGGGTGAGTTTCTTATCGATAATATTTTTCATATTTCTCTAAAAAACAAATCCTTTACGTACCTTAACGCGATTATTTATTATTAAATCAGCTTTGCGAATCATTCGTTGAATTCTGTTCGTACACGGAATTATTTAAATTAAAATATCATTTACGTTCTAAAGTAAAGGTGAACAGTGTTTTTCTTAAAAATATCACTGTTACGTAGTAAAAAAAAATCCGGAAAGTTCACGCTTCGTAACTTGTTCAATACTTCGAACGCGGCTCGATTCCGTCCCGACCTTCTGTCAAAGCTTCGTGCTGCGGGCTCTCGAACTTCGCGCCGTCACCTCTCATTGGTCAGTGTTTTTCGTTAATAACTCGTAAACAAAGCCGCGGATTGCATTTTCGCAAAGGAAAAAGTTACTTCAAATGACCTCAGCTACCCCTCATTTTCGGCTTTTCTTCCTGAAAATAAGTTTACAGATAAACAGGGTGTCTCAATAACTCTGTTACAAAGCGATATTTCCATTATCGTTAATGATACGCGGAAATGCTTTAGGAACAAATTGTTTGGTTCGAAGGGACACATGCTGTGGCGGAAATCATCTTTTTGTAAAAGTCATATTTTTTGAGATTTCAAGGTCATCGATGTTTTTTCAAATGGGATTACATATTTCTATCATTATATCATGATAGCTAAGATCAAGACGAATCTAATAACCTATAATACCATAACCTTCATGTGACCTTGGGTACGAAAAATAAAGAAATTTTTAGACATGGACACGTTTATTGATACCAAATGCCAGCATGCTTATGTTATGTTCCTTTCGGTAGACATCACGCTTTTTGGTATAACGTTTTGATATGGAGTATGGAGCTCTGTCAGAGTTCGATAATCGAATTAATAAATGTCTTGAAGTCAATGGAAATAATTTTGAACTTTTATTACAATAAATTTTTCATTGTTGATCTCTCTGTTGTAGTTATTTCATTATTAGATTCGTCTTGATCTTAGCTATCATGATGTAATGATACAAATATGTAATCCCACTTGAAAAAACATTGATGACCTTGAAATCTCAAAAAATATGACCTTTACAAAAAAATGATTTCCACCACAACATGTGTCCCTTTGAACCAAACAATTTGTTACTGAAGCATTTCCGTGTATCATTAACGATAATGGAGATATCGCTTTGTAACAGAGTTACTGATGCACCCTGTATAAGTGTTGAAATAATAAATAATGAATTATGAATACTACTAATAAATAATAAGTACAAGATATATAGGGTAATTTAACAGATGCTTAAAATAATTAGACAAGCCATTTTTCAGGCCTGCAGCGCTGAAATATGTGATACAGAGCACCCGTAAATAAATTATTAGATACCAATCTGACTGACGACACCCTATCTGTGTCCCCATGCTGACTCACCTAGGTCATTAACCAGAGTGTCCCTTGTCCCTGGGGCTTCTTCATCCACAGTCTCTTTATGTGTGTGATATTTCAACGTTGTAAACTTAAAAATCCTGTGGACGGTTATTATAAATAAACTGCGGATTTTATAGACTTATGATAAAAATGAGCAGATGAAGTTTCAAAAAACAAATAGAGAGATTTAAAGGATTTAAAAATGTCAATACGTTGCTTTCATCTTATTGAAATTAGTAAACAAGGAATTAAACTATTTGATTCCTGTTGCTTAGAATTGATGGAAACAATTTTTATTTTGGATAAAAATCCGTAAATAAATTCGCAATAAAACTTGACACACACATGTGCAAACACAATGAAACAATAGTTAAACATATACAATACTTTTGTAGCTGCCCATTATCATATGTAGAAAATAAAAGTAGCCTTTCAACGTTGGAGATGAGAAATCTATTTTACGAAATAATTTGTATAGTAATGCAGATAATAAGAATATTATTGTACATAAAAATGGATCGTTTTTATATAAGAAATTAAGTGATGTAAACAAGGATTTTAAAAATTCGTCGATATAATCTATATAAACTTATTTGTTGAGTTCTAGGTTTAATTTAAAGCTTGTCAGGGAGGTGAAATAATATACGTGGTAATTTGTTTTTAGATATACGGCTGGAAACCAGAATTTTACAACGATACGGATTCGTTGCCAAATAAAATGCCTTCCGACCTCAAGGAACATATTACTAGCTTAAAGGGAAATAATTCTGTGCAACTTAATACGGTTTGGGTCTCCTGCGAAGGCGAGAATCCTGCGGACCAGGAGAATATAGGACCAATTCATTACATACCTCGAAGAGGTTTTCCTGGTTACTTCTACCCCTTTGAAAATTCTGAGGGATATCTCAGCCCTTTGGTTGCTGTTCATTTTGTTCGTCCCCGCAGTAAGTATCAGTTTTATATACAATATGAATTGTAAAAGATACTTTTATATTATTAAAAAATAAAGTGTCAGAATTATTTATACTCAGTAGAAAATTGAAAGTTAAGCGATACTTTATTGAGTTATCTTTCAGTATTAAAAAAATGTTGACAATAACATGTATTTTATTTTTTCATTGAACTTAAAAATTTATGTCATTATATATTTATAATTATTAGTTTCTATACTATTTATATATAGAGTAAATATTTATTGAACCAATGAAAGTGTAAAATATTTCATTGATTTTTTTATTAAATGTAAATATTACAAGGAGGTACCACAAGCTATACATCTATATGCATATATGAATTATATAATTTTAGAAAATTGGAAGTAATTAGAGAGAAAAAAAGTACTTTGTTACAGTAATTAAGAACATTACCAATAATTGATGAACAAAAATTTCCATATTCTGCAAGTTCTATCCAAGCCAAAATTGTGTGCTTTAATCAAAACAATGTGAGAACAGTTTTGAAGAAAGTTTCATAATTCTTTCATATATGTATTCGTTTGAATATTTGTCTTTTTTTTTATTTTTTAATTGAGGAATTGTATTTTGTTACAGCTGGAATTTTAATAAACGTAGAGTGCAAGGCGTGGGCGAAAAACATAAAACACAGCCGCCATGAGAAAATAGGTGCAGTTCATTTGGAGTTGATGATAGATTAACAGCGCTGCCTACCCTACCAGGCCTCTCCCTTGTTAGTGTACAGAAGCTAAACTCGAATCTCATATTTTCTGACTCTTCAAAATACGTGGATGCTTTTCAAATCAAATCAAGAAGTCGTCAGAAATCGATGACCGCTGCCAAAGCCGATGAAATTTTTCTCAAGTACAAAACTAAAAGGGTTTCTTAAGTTTGTATCAGTGGCAAATTTTTGACACGGAAGTTTCCTGTGCACCGAGAGAAATATTAAATTTTACATTAGTTTTTATGCAGTGTTCAGACTTTTATTCGATCGCAATGGGCAAATGAACTGAAATGTCGGCAAAATAATTTATATCCGATCAGATCAATGTAAAGAACTGTTCGTCATGTGAACTGTGTGGAAAACATATATGTATACCGTCTATCAATATGAATATATATTTTATGAGAAACATAATCAAAATATTATAAGTGAGGACACGATCAAATTAGTCTATGTTTCCACGATTTAAAAAATAATGGAAGTAGATATACTCGTCTCCGAGTTCAATTTTATAACATGATTTTCGATTTTAATTAAAACTGTGGAAGATATTAGATTATATTTAAATTCTTTCTGGTAAGTGTCACTCAATTATCTAAATGTCCATTTCAAAAATTGAACATATAACGAAGTTATGAAAATTATTCGAATAAATTAAATTTATTGTTACCGTATTTCGAATGCCCATCACGAATAGATCTCTTAAACGTGGCAAAGATAATATATATAAATGATGTATGTAAATGTATTGTATGTGTACACATATATTTTTATAGATAAGATTTTATTCTTTCAAATCACTAATTGTTG